CCCCCACGCCCTCCCGTGACCGCCCCGACGCACGTCCACAACACGGAGCGCACTGTGGAGACACCTGGCCCACAGGTCCTGTTTTCTCCCAGCCCCGCTCGGGGGAGCCCCCACCCCACCAGCCACCCTGAGAGCTGGGCCCACGGATGTAAGTCACACGCTACAATGCAGCACCAAGAGAACACGGAAATGGGGTGGGACAGCCACCCCTCCACACCAGCAGGATCCTGTGGCCCACGGTGCGGTGCATAAGAGGAGAACCACGCCTTCTAGAAGATTCCTAGTGACCCCAGTGGTTGCTATGACAACAAAATAGCGGTGAGGAGGCTGGGGAGAGGAGACCTACTTGGCTTGTTATCAACCATCACCGGGACTTGGGAGCCCAGCCCTGCAGCACTGTCCCAGGCTGGGCGCAGGCTGGGAGGTAGGAGGTCGCCCTCCTCCAGCCCCCGCTCTCGTCCAGCCGGAGCGGCCCCGCCCCGCCTCTGCCGGTCCAGGGGCATCAGCAGTGCTGCTGCTCAGCACCGGCCTCTGCAGGGGCCCAGGGGCTGTGCAGCCCATAATGGCTCGAAATGCTCCACAAAACGGCCTTCCCCCCCCCACAAGCCATGTCCCCCCAGACCACGCACGCGGGCCCTGCCGAAGGCTGCCTGGCTCTGAGCCCGGGCACCCCGGCCGTCTTCACAGGGTCTGGAAGCTGAGACCCAGCCTGGCCGCTCCAGCCCGAGCACACCACACAGGACCATGACCGCAGCGGGGCGGTCCTCCCCTGGAGGAGGCTTGCCCCGGCGCCTGGCCCACTGCGGCGGGCCCTGCTCCCCCCAGTGCCCTGACTGGAGGGCGGGCAGAAACACCCCGGCCCACCATGCTCCCCACACCTCTGCTTAGCAAGAACGCCAGCATTAGTTCACCAACATCATGCGTGTATTTACGTCTGTGTGCTCACGCATACATAAGCAGCCTGTGCTGTGCCAACCCTAGATAATATAAACCAAGGCAAGGGCATTAATAGCAAAGAAGACACCCTACCTACAGGCACCGCAGCTCACGCCTGACATCCTAACTCCTCAGAGGGCTGAGATCGGAGGACTGCGGCTCAGAACCAGCCCTGACAGGAAGGTCTGTGAGACTTATCTCCAACGAGCCAGCAAAAAGCCAGAAGTGGAGCTGTGGATCAAGTGGTAGAGTGCCAGTCTTGAGCATAAAAAGCTTAGGGACAGAGCCCAGGTCCTGAGTTCAAGCCCCAGGACCTGAAACACACACACACACACACACACAAAACCCCAAACCGAAACACCCCAATGCCTCACGAAGCTGCATTCTAAATGAGATCGTCAGGACTTGCCAGGGGACAAAGGACCTTCCGCTGCCCGGCGGCGCGCACCGGTCGCTTGGCGCAGTTCTCCACAGCCCTCCACACACAGGACACCCCTGCTCGCCGGCCTGCCTGACAGCCCCAGCTCAGCCCCCAGCAGAGGTGAGGACCCCGTGAGGCCGCAGCCAGAGCCCCCGGGGAGTGGCCAGCGCCGGGCACCAGGCTCCCGGGCAGCAGCAGGGAGGGCGGGAACCAAAACGCCTTGCGCTTGGCCATCAGAAGCCGGGATGGGCAGGCGGGTGGGCAGGCAGGGGGTGGCGGGCAG